GAACAAAACGAAAATAGAGGGTGCTTTGCGATTTAGAGATTTCAATTTTTTTAATTGGGCACATTTAGGCAAGCAAGATTGGAGATAAATTATGTACCCGAGAAGTTTATTGGAGCAAGTTTCGAAAGAGAGGTACTATCCGAACTCTACATTCCTAGAGTCTAATGTAGGGTCTTTCCCTAGTTACACTTGGAGAGGTATTTGGGAGTCTAAATGGGTTGTGCGTAGAGGGTTGCGGTGTAGAGTAGGGAATGGGGAGGGGATTAACAAACCTAGATACAAGTATAGAGGTAAGTCAAGAGTCGAATCCAAAGGAGCAGTTATGTTCAAGTGCTTTTAATTGGGAAAATAAGCTAGGTCGTAGTCAAGGGTGAAGAGGTAACACTAACAATTACCAAAACAAAGAACAAAACAAATAAAACACTAGGGAATGGGGATCAACAAGTAATCATGACAAGTGCAACAACTTGGGAAGAACATGTCAATCAATGTTTGTGAAGACTAATGATGAGAGCTATCAATTGGAATCAAAGATCTATCTCCTAATCGTTAATCTAGTGGTCTCTACTAATAACAAACTAGGAGAATCACATTCCAAACCAATCGAAAATTGCAATTCCTAAATCAATGGGTCGTATCATTAGAAATCACAATGCAATCTAGTATAATTCACAAGGCCTAATCAATCTAGTATAATTCACTTTAATCTCAAGAATCAATCAACATAATTCCCAAATCAATCACAATCAATCAATCACCCAAGTTTCACCCAACCCCTAGAAAAACAACTACTCAAGATTCATCATCTAATCAACAAACAACTAAAGAAATCGAGAATCAACAAAATATGAAGAACAATTACACTAATCAATAAATTAAACATCAAAATCAAATTAAACAAACATGAAATTAAACAAAATAATTAAATGAGATAGAGTTAGAAAACTTAATTGATTGATTATGGAGATCTTCAATACAATTGTCACCTTGGATCTTCAATCTCTCAAATCCCCAATATAATTTCTCACTTTCTCTCTCTAAAACTACTCCTAAACTAACCCTAAAACTAGAGAGAGAAAATCTCAACTTGACAAGGGAATAAACACATCATCAAATGCCTATCCCTAGATCACATGAATTTTATATAACCTAAACGAAATAAATACAAGTATAAGGTAAGCAAATGGTCAAACCACAGGGAACAGATAAACACTACCAAATGCTATCAACAACAACTAAGCTAGTCCGGAATAAAGGGAAGTAAACTAAACTCTAAGACACTAAAACAAGAGATAAAACACTAAGGGAAATGGTTTAGGAATAGCATCCACTCAAGCATAGCAAAGGCATAAAGATTGAATTAATCATGAACTAAACATGCTTGAATATCGAAGTAAGGTCCAATCTAGCCACCTGTCGGGGTCAATTGGCTTCTCCTAACGTAGCCTTTATATTGTCACTTTAGAACCATATATTAGGAGGTGCTATTAAATAACAATTGATACAAATGAATCTTGCTACGTCCGCTATCGCATCTTCTAACAATAATTCACCCTCAATCAACTAACAACATGCATATTGCAAGTAGAATGAAGAATATCATGCAAATAAATAATTTAATCACAAATAAATCAATTCTAACCCTAGAACATGCTCAAGATCCAACTACACCACAACCATCCCCTTATTGGGAAATTACTCACTAATCATGCCAACAACAAGATCAATTAACAAATAACCAATAATCAACATCATAAACAAGCAATACTAACAACTAAAACAATACAATAATCAAAACAAAGCAAATAAAATAGAGGAGAGAAAGATAGAAATTATCATTAATTTAATAAGGAGATCTCCAAAATAACGGCTATTTCACAAAATGCCACTGAGTACTTTAAAAATTCACCAAATGCCACCGGACTTTTCAGAATTCACCAAATGCCACCCATTTTTTTAAAAATTCACCGAGTGTCATTAATGACCAACGGGCGTGAACTCCGTTAGTCATTAGGGGTTAATCATGACACATATCATGATATAATTGGTCAATTTATCTTAATTCATAAAAAATTTTATAAAAAACAAAAAATTTTAAAAAAACAAAAAAATGTAAAAAAACCCCTAAAAATTTTCCCAGCCACCCCCACCACCGCCAAACCCTAGCCCCACCCCTTATCTCACCGGAAAACGGCTGGCCACCACCTTAACCACCAAAAATTGGTTGGTCGGCCCTTTAGCGCCCCACCTGACCCACCGTCGACCCCCAAAACCACCCACGCTGCCCACCCCGACCCCAAAAACCACCCACACGTATAGTTGCCTCGACCCCATAAACCACCAATAAAATGCCCCTCCTCCCTTCTCCCACCGTCAAAATGACCGATTTCGAGGGTGGGGAAAGAGAGGAGGGGCGATTTTGGCGACAGAGGTAAGGAGAGGATGCTTGATTTTGGCGATTTTGGTGACGGAGGTAAGGCGACCGATTTCATTGTTAGTGGTTTATAGTGTAATACCCCATATTTTTATACGTATTTTATTTAAAGTATGTATTTTATAAAGTATTTAAATAGTTTTAATTATTTTAATTAAAGTATTTTAATTAATATTATTATTAAAGGAAATTTTATTTAATTATTTTATTTATAAGTTGGGGTTTTATTTTAGGAAAGTTTAATTTTTTAACAAGTTTATTAGGAAAGGAATTAGGAAAACCTGGAAGAGGGTTAGTAGAGAAGGGGTATAACTATCCCACTTATGAGGCAAATCAAACTTAGCCCAGAGTGGAGAAAACCCAAGGTAAACTTCTCTCTCTCTCCTCCTTATTTTTCTTTCTTTTTCTTTTTCCCCTTCCCCTTATTTTTTCGGCTGCCCTCCTCCCTCACCACCGCTGCCAGCAGCGCAAGCCGCCGACAGCAGGCAGCCGCCGCCGCCAGCAGCCGGCAATCGGTGGTGGCTGCCGTTCTTCCTCCCCTTTTTCCCCCTTTTTCGAACTACATATATTAAAAAAAAAAACTAAGCTTTCTTGTTTTAATTTAATCTATTCTTGGATCTAAATATAAATTATGAGTTTGGGGGTTTAATTTTGATGTTTGATAATTGTAATCATACGAATTAATTTTCAAATTTGGTTTTTAATTAAAAAGCCCCAGTTTTTGAAACCCTAGGTCCTTGATTTATGATAATTATGAAAGTATATGAGGTATTAATGTTTAGATCTTCAATTTAAGTGTTTTAAGACTAAATTACAGCAAGTTTTAATTAGAAATAAAGTGCTGGAATTTTATGTAGAGCACTTAATATTATGTTTTTGAAAATTTTGGTTTTTTTTGGTCCGAAATTTTTTTTTTTTAGGGACACTCGAAATTTTTTTTTAGTGTCCGAAATTTATATTATTTATATTATTTTATTTTTTTTGTGAAGGCCGAAAATTTGGCCCCTTCCCTATAATTTCGAATTTTTTTTTTTAGCAGGGTAAAATATTTTTAGTTTGTTAATTTTGCAGGGAGCAAGGATTGAGGTAAGAATTATGTGTTAAAAGCTTTTATTAATATGTTGGTGAGCTTGGGTAGGAAAAAAAAAAGGGCATATAGGCTAGAATTTAATTTCTTCCCTGTGTGCATAAATTTTATTTTAGGGTGTTCAAACATGTTGTATGACTAAATGTTTGTGATGAAAGCATGCAATATATGTATTATTTTATGTGATTCTTCAGATTGTATGATTGAACACTGAACTTTGTGTTATTTATTTAATTTTATTTTATTTCTTTAGGGAAGGGAAATCTTTTCTAAACCTTTTCTCTATAGGATGCCAATTTTTCCTAGCAAGTTTACCCAAATGGAATCTCTCGTAAAGAAAAATAATGAACACCCCTATGACTTTGTAGAAAAGATCAGATACTTTTGTTCCTACATGAGCAATGTCCTACGGGAGAAAGTTTATGACACCCCTGATCGTATTTCGGCAATGATTGTCCATTGTCTTCCAGAGTAGCCCCCTTACTTCGCTGTCAAACAAAGATTTTCTGATTTTTATCTTCCAGGAGACATCCCAAATTACCATAAATACAGAGATTATTATGGCCAATGGTATCCAGACTATATTTTCTTAACAAATATCTCTTAAGGGTGGAGAAAGTTTATTGTCAGCGCTTAAACCTTCCCTACCCTGACTACTACTTTGATAACCCAGCAGAGAACAATCCTCCTCCAAATCAACAACCAGAAAATTCCGCTTCTTCTTCTTCTTCGTCGGGGGGTAATCCAACAGAGAATGGAGAACAACAAGAGGGTAATAGTTCACTTATGGACATTTCTGATCCAAACCCACCTCCAACTCCAATAATTATAGACATTTCATCGGATGAGGAAGAAGAAGGGGAGTTTATTCCAGTAGAACCTGAACCTGAATCACCTGAACCAATGGAGGAGTCAAATGATTCTAACTTCGATCCTTCAAGCTACAAGAAATCCATCTTATGACTTTCCTCGCAACGAGTTCATATTCTTTATTTTAAAAAATTTTATTTGTTATTTCAGTTTTAGCAAATAAGTGGCATAACCACATCAGTTTTTGGAACACACTTTTTATTTTAATATCTTCAGTCTATTTTAATTAATAAACCTTATTTATTTCTTTGATAAATTTTTATTTATAAATTCTTTTGTTTTACAAATATTCCATTTCACACCATTATTCCAGTAATCACCATTCCAAGCAACTTATCTCCAACAAACATTTATAAACCGCAAACGTCCATGGGAATTATTTTTATATTTATTGTGATGCTTTATTAAATGCATGGTTGGTTAGCAATCAATATTAATTGATAAAGCTACATTAAGGGAATTTTTAGCAATTGCTATCCCAAATTGTTAGCTTCAAATTTTACTGTAAATGTTTAAAAAAAATCGTTAAATATATAAGGGTGTTCGTCTTGAGAGCTAAACCTAGTCATTTATAATAGTTATCCTTGTCCTATATTCAGGAGAAACCAAATGGCAGGGGGACGAAGTTCAGGTAGTGGTGGAAATGATTTGAATGATGTAGTGAGGCAATTGGCAGCGGTTCCCCAACAATTGGCAAGGAACTCAACTGGTAACGGGGATGCTCAAGGGGAGCTCTTTAAAAAGGTGGCGCAAAGCAAGCCACCAACCTATCAGGGCGAGGCTGATCCTGTGGTGTTGGAAAATTGGTTAAGGGAATTTGAGAAACTGTTTGGAGCGGTGGGATGCCCTGAAAACTCCAAAGTAGGTTGTGCTATATACTATCTGAGGGGTGAAGCTGACCTTTGGTGGCAACAAAACGAGGCTACCATTAGAGCATTACCTAGGTTCAACTGGACCAAATTCCAAGAAAAAGTGAGAGACAAGTTTTATCCTAGCTTTTTGCAGAAGCAGAAGGCTGAGGAATTTTCAAACCTTAGGATGGATAAGATGACAGTTACGGAATATTACACCAAGTTTATTGAGTTGTCCCGTTTTGCTGAAGGATCCGTCTCTACGGAGAAAGCAAAAGCTAGGAAGTTTGAGAGTGGGTTAACTACTGATCTACAGTTGAAGCTGTGCGGGCAGGTATTTGAGACCCTGGATGAAGTATATGGAAGGGTCGCACACCTTTATGCTCTGGAGGAAAAGAAGAAGAAAGAGTTAGCTGAAATAGAAGGAAGAGAGAAGAGGAAGGAAGTGGGACAAGTTTCTGGAAACCAACAGGGAAACCAGAATGGTTTTAAGAAGCAGAACTACCACCATAACAATAATTTCCCCAATAATAATAATTTCCAGAATAATAACCGCCAAGGGGGATGTAGCAACAATGGTGGGGCTAGAAACAATAACTAAGGGAATAATAAGAATGGAAGGACTTACTTCTGCAAGAAGTGTAGGAACAATCACCCTGGGAGGGATTGTGAAGGCAATTTGGTTGCTTGTCGCGCTTGCAACAAACTGGGGCATAGGGAGTATGAGTGTTACTCTAAGAATGCTAATGGGAATAAACAGAACAACTATAACTCAGGAGGAAACCAGAAGAATTTCCAAGGGAACAACAACAATTTTTCTGGGAATAAGGGAGTGCAGCAGAATGGGGTGAGAAACAGTAACACCAACAATAGTAACAGCCAACAAAAGGGAGGAACTGCAGGGAACTGAATGTTTTGAGTAGGCACGAGGCAGAGGCCACGAAAGATGTTATCACTGGTACATTTTCTATTAACTTTATTCCTGCTAAAGTATTGTTTGATTCTGGTGCAACTTTTTCTTTTGTTTCTAAGGGTATTGTTTCAAAAGTGTGGAGGGATGCTAGGGTGTGGGGGTTTGATTGGGTAAAATTATATCTCCAAGGGGTAGGGCCAGTGAGAATTTGATGGTAAGTGACTTGATCAACTAAGGAGATGGTAGTTGGAATGGGAGTGCTCTTTCTCAATATTTTCTTAATTTTGAGAAAGATAGGATTTTAGGAATCCCCTTGAGTAAAGACTTCCGGTTAATGGCTTTTATAGGGATCTTGAGAAGAATGAGATTTGTTCAGTGAAGTTGACTTATCGGGCGATCTTTGAACACGATTGGTGTAATACCCAAGATTTTAAACTCGATTTATTATACTCTAATTTAATATTAAAAGCTTAAATAAATTTTTAGTCTCTATTATGTTAACAAGTTTGACTGTTTTAGTTTAAATTTTATTTTAAAAACACATTATTTATTTTTAAAACCTAATTTTCCAAAGGAAAGTAATTATTTTTTTAAAAATCTATTTCGAGTCAAATTTTATTTTTATATTCCGTTAAAAGTCGCACCAAACTCTGTAATTTTTATCCGATATCGCGAAATGACAAAAATGCTTTATGCACCCAAAAAGGAAAAAATCGACCTCTTGTTCTTTCTTCACGATTAAGTGTTGGAATTCAAATGTCGCTTCTTTCCCATTGGATGTATGTTCTATTATTTCACTTATCATCACAAAAAAAAGTCAGGTGAGCTTAAATGTCAAAGCTTATCACACTAATATAGCAATCTTGATCTTCTCTCTCCCTTCTCTTGTAAGTTTCTAGTAGCAAGTAATTAACACCGGTAAGTTTGACTACTAAAGCAACACCACCACCACCGTTGTCGCAATCACCGCATCTTTCCCCTGCTCCAAGCCGTTGTTGCCACCTCATCCCCTTCACCGTCGACCAACCACGCCACCACAAATTTACAATTCCCTTCTCCTTTCGTGACTATCTTGTCAAAACAAGTGAAATAGTCTTTTAAGACCCATTAATACTTACTTGACACTTCGTATACTACTCACCCTAAAGTAAGTAGTACTTGTTTTAGTTTTTTATATTATTTTTTTTGTAAAATGATTTAATTTAGATATACTTATAATTATTCTTTAAAAATAAATTATTGATTTACTTCTTATATGATGGTCTAGTATTAATTATTTCTATAGATTGCATAACATAAGAGTTGGATAAACATACCTTGTAGTAAAGACTTTCTAATAATGAGTTTTGATATTAGAATGATTTAAGAAACCTTTATACTAAAGTATTTATACTATTTTATACTAATAATGACAAAATTTCTTGTCTTATAAAAAGAGGAATCGGACCCCAAACCTCAGTGAGAACGATAAAATAAAGGCTTGTAGGAAGGTTGTCAGACTTTAAATCGAGGTAACAGCTATTGCTAGTACCCGTTATTCCCTTCGAAATGCGTTTAGTTTATATATAAAAGTATGATGTTACGATTGAAAGTAATTTATGTCTTTGATATATTATATGATTTGTGGGATTATAACTATAATTTGTCTGAATTCTTTTCCTGAAATATATGATTTTATGAGAAATCACAAGGATATTTTAATGACGAGTTTTACGGTAAACTGTAATGTACTATATTTTATAAAGGTGTCTTACTATTTTACAAAAGTATTCTGAATGACTGGAATTTCTTCAATTCTCTTAATTTATAGAAAAAGATGTAAACATAATCTTATATGATTGAGCAATGGTTCCTTTGAGGGCATTGGCCCATTCCTGATATGGAGCAGTGGCTCCCCCTAATATGTTTGGAACACTGGCTCCCCTGATAGTAGGAGACGTCCTACCCTTGTTAAATGTTTAATGTTTAATGTTTAATGATAATAATGATTTTATTAAATGGTTATGAACGAATGCTTATTGAATTGGTGTTTTATTACGTGTTTAAATTTATTCCGCCCTCCCTGTTTAATTAACTAAAATGAATTGAAATGATGTTACGCTACTAGAGTAGTACGTTACCAAGCCTTCGGCTCACCGTTTTTATGTTTCATGTTTTAGGTACTGCTGGAACGAAGGGAACACGTAGTGGGAAGGATTTTAATTACCTTAGGAAGCTCACTAGTTATTTACAGTTTTAAGATGATAGATTAATTTAATTAGCAAGTAAGACTTTAGTAAGTTTATGTTAAAATAAGATCTTCTTTTAGCAAAGTAAGAATTGTTTAGGGTAAAAATACCCCTGACAAATGGACCTATGCTAATGCGCACGTGTCCCTAAGCTCAGCGCTCAATGAGCCAATTAGAGCATGACACGTGTCATCTCAAAGGGGAAAACGGGCTTAAAGCCCATAACCCTAGAAACCGTAAAACGGTAGAAGCCCATCAAATTAGGTTAAATAAACTAAGAGGCACCTATCCCAAAGACCCTATAAATACTGATCATTTGCATCAGTTAAGGGGGGATTCAATTGAATACACATTCAATCCTCACAAACCAAAGAGTGAAAAGCTCAGATATTGAGGCTGTCTCAGACAGCCGGAAGATCACTCTTCTCCTAAGAGGAGCCTGATCCCCTTTACATTTCGCACTTTACTCCTCATACACGTTCTAACTTGATCGTCGGAGGCGGAACTCCCACCCCCGAGAGTCTCCGTTGTTTTGCAGGTATAAGCAGCCGGAGGTTGGTCTTGGTGTTGTAACTCTCCCGCAGGGCATCCAAAAAACCCCAAAACAAGAATAATTTCTGTATTGAATAAATTTATATACTTTAGGAATTAAGGTTGTTTAAGTATGAATGTTGCTTTGCAACTCTCGAGAGAGAGTTACAGCGGTGACGTTTCGACCGAATTAGGTTAATTTTGCTACTAAGATTTCTTTAATACTTGAATTAGAGGTCCGGGCGTTACAGCTTGGTATCAGAGCAAAAGATTCTGAGGCCGTAAGTAAATCCCTATGGGTTTTATGTCAACTGCGTTACTGTTTTAGAAAAAGAATTAAGGTTTAATGTAGTGTAAGAAAGGTATTCTTAGTATAAGGTAATTATATTATGACCATAAGTATATGAATTCAAGGCTATAAAGATAAGTAAGTGATGTGAGTGAGAGTGTAGGAACAGGATGAAGGGATTGATTTTCTTTTACTATTGCGTTATTTGATTGATTATTTTATGCAAAATGTCGACTATTAAGAGAGGTATCAACAATGGAACAAACAACGATGTTTTTACTAATGATGAAATGGTTCACGAGGAAGATGTCCATGAGGAATGTTAGAATATATGGCAATATATTCTAGTCTGACATTGTATATAACTAATTATGGTTAGTGTATATTTCCTAGCCTAGTTTATAGCCTTAATTGTAGGTAGTTAGTTGCCAAGATTATCTCTTGTATTTGTATATTTATACCCAAAGATAATCAATGGAAAAGATCAACGATCAAATCACTTTCATGGTATCAGATTAAGGTTTGGATCCTACGTTCCCTACCCCTCTCACGGCCCACATCATCATCTTCTTCCTCTTTTCTTTCTTTCTTTCCGCTGCAACCTTTCCATGGCAGACACTCCAAAGTATCACCCCGCCTTTACGATCACAAACGTAAAGTCCCTCACACCAATTACTTTAGACTCTAATCATGGATTGTATCACTCTTGGGCTGCACTTTTTAAAGTGCTTTGTCGAGTTCATGATCTCACTTCCCACATCATCCCTCCTATGGACGCATCCGAACTCGCTGCATATGAGTCTGTCAAACGGGCATACCTTGCCTACCGGAGGCGTTTGGATGCTGCCGTCCTTAACTGGATTTACAATTCAGTTTCTCCAGACATTCTCACTGCCATCCTACTCAAGGATGACACCATTCATGGTGCTTGGACTCGCCTTGAATCAATGTTCCAAGATAACAAAGCATCACGGGCTTCCCATCTCGAACAAGAGCTTGCTGACCTTGATTTCGGGAATTTCTCTAACATTGATGGCTATTGCAATCACGTCAAATCCCTCGCTGATCGTCTTGCGGATGTTGATGCTCCGATTCCAGATACTCGCCTCATCCTTAAACTCACAGCCGTACTGCCCGAAGCTTATGCCGGGACGGTAGACTTCATACAAAACCAGGAACCTTTCCCTTCTTTCGAAAGTTGTCGTTCTCGCCTTAAGCTTGTTGAGCGCACCATCAAAAACCGCCTCGCTAAGGAGAATGGGTCCACCAGTCGCCAACCGACAACCCTACTGTCCTCCACCGGCGGCCACCAGCAACACGATGCTTCTGTCAACACCTCCAGGCCGTCCAACAGAAGCAACAAGCCAAAGAAGTCAGTCTCAAAGGCTTCTGGTAAAGGGCGCCTCTCTGGTTCAGCCCAGCAACCTTCTGGCCCAACAACTGGACAGCCCTGACAGCCTCAACTAGGCCCGCACTCGTGGCCTGCCAGGAACCCTTGGCTAGGCCAGTGGCCTAGTCCACCATGCCCATATCCTGCTAAGTCTTGGACACCACAGACAGCTGCCTCTTCAACAGGCTCAAGGCCAATTGGGCCCGGGATTCTTGGTCCACCTCCTCAAGATTTCAGTGCTCTTGACAATGGTCCAAATCCTACTCCTACCCACATTGCTGCTGCTATGCAAATGCTTGCTAATCCACATCGTCCGGATACCAATTATTATATGGACACCGGCGCCACATCTCATATGACGGCCGATCAAGGTATTCTCTCACCCTATGTAAATTCGAGCATTAAAAATCATAACATTGTTGTTGGTAGTGGTGATTTAGTTCCAATTATTGGTCATGGTAGTGCTATTTTTCCATCCCCGTACCCACCTTTTACCCTAAATCATGTTTTGCATGCTCCCAAAATAATTAAAAATTTGATATCCGTCCGAAAATTCACAACTGACAATATGGTCTCTCTTTCCTTTGATCCTTATGGTTTTTCTGTGAATGATTTACAGACGGGGGCCCACCTAATGAGATGTGACAGTGCCGGTGACCTATATCCTCTCTTCCCAATCAATCAAGCCAACTCAGTCACACATTCAAATTTTACTGCTATCTCTTCCGATCTTTGGCATAATCGACTAGGACACCCTGGCGATGTTGTTCTTAGGAAATTGAGTACTCAAAATTTTATTGAATGTAATAAGGCTTGTACTTCTTTTTGTTCTTCGTGCCCTTTAGGGAAACACATTAAACTACCTTTTTCTGATTCTATGTCGCACACTGTTTTTCCTTTTGATATAATTCATAGCGATCTGTGGACTTCTCCAATTATCAGTTCTTCTGGTCATTGTTATTATCTATTGTTTCTTGATGACTACACCAAATTTTTATGGACTTATCCTATTGCAAAGAAATATGAAGTTAAACATATTTTCCAAACCTTTCATAAGATAGTCCAAACTCAATTTGAACGTAACATTAAAACTTTTCAATGTGACAATGGCACCGAGTATGTTAATGGTACTCTTAAAGATTTTTTTGAAAATCATGGTATTCTCTTTCGTCTTTCCTGTCCACACACATCTCAACGAAATGGAAAAGCTGAACGTCACATAAAATCAATCAATAACATTATACGGACCCTTCTTGCCCATGCTTCTTTGCCTCATTCTTTTTGGCATCATGCTCTAGCCATGGCTACCTATCTCCTAAACATTCTCCTAACCAAGGTCTTAGGTTATAAATCTCCCCTACTCAAGCTTTATACCACCGTGATCCCATTTATTCGGGTTTACGAGTCTTTGGTTGCTTATGTTTTCCCCTCTTCCCTTCCACTTCTATAACCAAGTTGCAAGAACGGTCCACCCCGTGTGTCTATCTTGGCCCTGCGCCTAATCATCGTGGTTCGAAGTGCTATAATTTATCAAATGGTAAAATCATCATTTGTCGGCATGTGAAATTCATTGAAAATGAGTTTCCGTTCTCCAAATATCACACCCCGAAAATTGATGATCATGAATTTTTGGACTACAGTCCATTAAATCACTACCACCATTTGCGCACCACTCAACCCATTTTTCCCTCATCCCCAGCCCAGCCCAGCCCATCTCCTCACATGGGCAGCCAACATCTCCCATCTCTTCTGGGCTCTCTACTGACTCCAGCCCACACTCCCCTTTTCCTGCCACATCTCAGTCCGTGGGCTCCCAGCAAACGGCCCAGCATACATCAGTCCTTCTCCCTCCCCCTTTGGACAGCCCACTCCTCACTTCCTCACGAAGTGAAAGTTCCTCCTCCTCCTTATCTGCCAGCAACCCATCCAACCCCACTGCCATAGGCAGTACCGTCTCCACCCCACCCCTATTCAGCCAATCATCTACCCACTCCCATCATATGACCACCCGATCCAAAGACGACATTATAAAACCTAACCCGAAATATTTTTCCAACCTAAAGATGATGACCACTACCACTATTTCTCCTATCCCTAAGGACCCGGTTAGTGCTATTCATGACCCTAATTGGAAAAATGCAATGTTAGAAGAATTTAATGCTCTTATTGGTAATCATACATGGGATTTGGTTCCTCGGCCTCCTAATGTGAATGTTATTCGTTCTATGTGGATATTTCGTCATAAACGAAAGTCTGACGGGTCTTTTGAGCGATATAAGGCTTGTCTTGTAGGTGATGGCAAAACACAACAACAGGGAATTGACTGTGATGAGACTTTCAGTCTGGTTGTCAAACCGGCTACTATTCGTACTGTTCTTAGCATTGCCATTTCACACTCTTGGTCGATCCATCAGTTGGATGTCAAGAATGCTTTTCTGCATGGTTATCTCAATGAAACAGTTTATATGCATCAGCCAATGGGTTTTCGCGACAAAAGTCGCCCATATCATGTCTGTCTTCTGCGGAAATCTCTATATGGTCTCAAACAGGCCCCTAGAGCCTGGTATCAGCGGTTTGCAGATTTTGTCACCTCTATTGGTTTTACTAATAGTAAATCTGATAATTCTCTATTTATTTACAGACAGGGGACTGATACTGCTTATATTCTGTTATATGTTGATGATATTATTCTTACATCTTCTTCTGTTCATCTCCGAACTCATATCATGGGTCTTCTGAGTTCCGAGTTCGCCATGAAGGATTTAGGTCTTCTGAGTTTTTTCCTAGGCATTGCAGTGACTCGTGATGCTAGTGGTATGTTCTTGTCTCAGAAACAGTATGCCACCTCCATCACTGCAAATGCAGGAATGTCAAACTGTAGTCCTTGTCCTAAACCTGTTGACACGAAATCCAAACTTAGTGCTTCTCATGATGCTCCATATGAGGATCCAACTAAGTACAGGAGTCTTGCTAGAGCTCTTCAGTATCTGACTTTTACTAGACCTGATATTTCTTATGCAGTTCAACAGGTCTGTCTCCATATGCATGCTCCGTGCAATGCTCACATGGGCGCTTTGAAGCGTATCATACGCTACTTACAGGGAACTTTGTCTTTTAGTTTGCATCTGTATAAGTCCTCTATCAACAAGCTTGTTGCTTATACGGATGCAGATTGGGGGGGATGCCCCGACACCAGGCGATCTACTTCAGGTTATTGTGTATTCTTAGGTGACAACTTGATTTCTTGGTCATCCAAACGGCAGCCTACGTTATCTAAGTCCAGTGCAGAGGCCGAATATCGTGGGGTTGCTAATGTGGTCTCTGATTCTTGTTGGATCCGAAATTTGTTGCTTGAGCTCTATTTCCCTATTCAAAAAGCAACGATTGTTTATTGTGACAATGTAAGTGCCATTTACCTTTCTAGAAATCCGGTCCAACATCAGCGTACCAAACACATTGAAATGGACATTCTTTTTGTTCGAGAAAAAGTCGCTAAAGGCGAGGTCCGGGTATTACATGTTCCCTCTCGTTATCAGATTGCCGATATTTTCACGAAGGGTCTTCCCCGGGTTTTGTTTGACGACTTTCGTGCCAGTCTTAGCGTCCGTGCTCCCGCTTCGACTGCGGGGGAGTGTTAGAATATATGGCAATATATTCTAGTCTGACATTGTATATAACTAATTATGGTTAGTGTATATTTCCTGGCCTAGTTTATAGCCTTAATTGTAGCTAGTTAGTTGCCAAGATTATCTCTTGTATTTGTATATTTATACCCAAAGATAATCAATGGAAAAGATCAATGATCAAATCACTTTCAAGGAAGACAACGAGGAACAATTTATAAAGGGGTACGAAAAAAGAATGGGACGACTCGAGAATGTGAGTACGTTGTTAGCTGAACTAATTCAAGATTCTAAGAAAAAGAAAGATACCAATGAGGACGATAGTGCGTCAATGTTCAAAAGTTTTCATCCCAAAACCCACTATCATATGATGGTAAGCCTGATCCAGTCGAGTTCGAAGATTGGATTAACCATATGGATCAATTATTCGAGACTTTACGATGTCCTAAAAAGATAAAAGTTGACATTGCTACATTTTATCTCACTAGTCAAGCAAGTTTATGGTGGAAAGTCAACAAAGAAAGGAAGAATGAGCCTGGATTTGGTTGGACTAAACTCCAAGAGTTAATGCGAGATAGTTTTTACCCACCATCTTTAAGGAGACCAAAAAAAGACGAATTTCTCCATTTACAACAAGGAGCAATGAGAGTGTTGGAGTATGCAAACAAATTCATGGAGTTATCTAGGTTTGCCCCAGAATTAGTATCCACGGAACAATCTAGGATGACTAGTTTCGAACGAGGTCTTCACTTGAAGTATCAAGATAAATTATCATATCAACACCTTACTTCTTATCAAGATATAGTTGATGTTGCAACTAATGTAGAACGAGTGGTGTTACTTCAAGAGGCCCAAAACAGTACCTATAAGAGGAAGAATGAAAATCGAAACCCTGGAGGAGCAAAGAGACTAAACCAAGGTGACCAGAATGACAAAAGGATTGATGATAAGGGTCTAAGTTGCGATAAAGCAGATAGAAACGCACCTCAATGGTGTGCCAAGTGCAGAAAAAGAAACCATACTAAAAGTGAATGTCGGGCTAAAACGAATACTTGTTACCGATGTGGAAGTCAAGACCATTATGTTTGGGATTGTCCCATAACGCCACCTACAGATAGAAAAGGAAGTGGAACAAACCCTAGGCAAGGCAACAAGGACAACAACGTTGTTAGGGTAACACATAACCCACAGCGACCACAAACAGCTAGAAGGGTCTACATGATGAACACTGACGAGAAAGATGAAGATGGTGCTAAACTGCTAATGTTGAAGCTCTTTCAACTCAGTTCTCCCTGATTACAAAGGCTTTATGTGATGCATCTTATAACTATGTGTAAAACTTTCTACTTTCTTAATAAAGGTTAACTTTATGTATGACTTAATTCAAGCGTAAGAATAATGCTTGGAAACGAATGATTGGATAAGTAAATAATGTAATTTT